TAAAGAACCCCTCCCCCATTTTATCATTGTTGTTAATTACATCATAATGGTACTACCAATTACAACAGCAACTAAAATGTATTGAAAAGTTCCTACATGACAGCTATGGGGCTTTACATATATTAACATTTAATTTAATCCCCAAACATGAAGGTAAAGGCCACACTTTTTTTTCACACCTGCATTCTCAGTACCAACATAACCTACATAAGAACATCAATGGTAAATATTTGTTAAAAGAATGAGTATACAAACAAATGGGAGGTAAGACCATTCCACAGTTTTCAAACTGGCCATCTTTAGGCAACCTAGCTTTTGTTTGTACAAACTATAGATTGAACACCACACTGGCTAATTTCACACTACATATATAAAGTAATAAAATAGATCTGAAAGTAACCACAAAAGAGGCCTCATTTCATAGCTACATTGACTGGTTGGGTGACCTTTGACAACTGTCTTAGCCTTCTTCTGAACCATAAATTTTATTAACATTATGAAGGTAATAACTCTCTTGCAAAAGTCTATAAAATGAATGAAGACCTCCTAGTATTATCTCTGCCTCTCAAATGGTTGATGATGTTATTCTATCTAATATTTATGGGTGCAAAAATTTTTAAGTTTTATTTTTATTATGAACTTAAAAAATTATCCAGACTATCATAGTACTTTACACTCTGTGAAAAACATTACGAAAAAATCATTATACTGGGACAAACTGTATTTTCCACAGTGATTTAAAAAGAGCAATACAAATGATAAGCACAGTATAGACTAAATGAAATTTGCAGGTGGATGGATAGTTTTAATCATTATTGATAAAGGGCATGACATATTGCAAGAAAAAAAATTCAAACTAACTTTTGAAAAATGCATTTGGAAATCTTTAAAAAAAGAAATGTTGGAAAAGAATTATGGTGGTCATTGAACATATGTGTCATTGTATTATCAAGACCATAATGACACTTTTGTGACATAGGTCATTCAATGTTTTAGTTCAAGGCCACATGCCTTATCCTATTTCCTTGCTTTATTTTTCTCCTGAATACTAATTACCATGTGACATCCTAATTTGTTTCTTATATCTATTCTGACAAAGACAAACTCTATGAAGACAGGGATTTCCAACTGTTTTGGACATTGTTGAAACACTAGTTCCCAGTGCCTGAAGTGCTCAATGTTTAGTTATAGATTGAGTAAATGAATGCAGATAATGAGATTGTAAAAGACATAATCAAAATAAAGTCACTTTTCTCAAGCCCTAAAAATAAGAAATAACAGTACATAAAGCTGAGAGATTATGAAGGAGGGGATTTTCAGGTATGCATACCTAATAAAAAAAACTATTCATGAAAGACTACCAGAACCACAATCTTGCACAAAGAATACTTCTGCAAGGATGTCTGTCCCATAACTGTCTGTTCAACTTTGGACTGGCACCAATTTTGTCACTGATCCTTGTGGCAGAGTATTTTTCTATCAAAGTAACTTACATAATACTCATTTTGCTTTTAAAAACTTCCCCTTGCCTCAACCTCTTTGAATACTCATAGTTTACTATGCACCTGTATTCCTGTGGCGATGCTCTGCTATTCCCAAATAAACTTATTAATCTTTGGAGAATCCTTTTCTGCCCTTTATTTAGGTTGACAAAGGACAGGAAGACTGAGTGCTTTGTATTTAGCTGGTAAGTGGCTGAACTGGTCAAGTATCCCAGCACTCCAAACACTCATTCAGGGCTATTTTCCAGTTCTTAAACTTAACTCACTCTCTCTCTCTCTCTCTCTCTCTCTCTCTCTCTCTCTCTCTATCTCTCCTCCTCCTCCTCCTCCCTCCTTCTCTCTCTCCCTTCCTTCCTCTCTCTCTCTCCTTTATCTCTCCACCCCTCCCTCTCATCCCTTTCTATTAACAACTGTGAGAAACAAATGATGAGCAGTATTTCTGACCTGCATGATAACCTATATCCATCCTTTGAGGGTTTCTAACATTTGAGCTGCATCTAGAATTCCCATTATAAAGGGGAAATGGTTTTTCTTTTTAAATCCCACAACCTTGGAGACCCTATACAGAAAATTTTTTATTTCATAAACAGCTAAACTACATAATGTCATTAGCTTGAATCTGACTTACAAAACACTTTAAAGATAGGCCACAAGAAGCCTAGTTTCAAATCATTTGAATTCTTTTAGTGGTATGATTTCTTCTTAAAAATGAGGGCTGAACACCCATGCTTAATTGTGGCACTGTACAAGATAGCCAAGTTACAGAAATGGCCAAGGTACCCATTATGGATAGATGGAATGTATACATACATATATATTCACAATGAAACATTATTCAGACATAATGTAGAGCAAAAAAGGGGGGAGGAAGTAATCACTGAGCTGAACCACCTCCCCACTGAGGGAATTTAGAGGAGCACAGAAGTCCAAACTTAGGGTCACTCCTAAATAGTTAAAAATGATAGGAAAAGCAATAAGGGGGCCTTAAAAAAAAGATAATGTATGATAATCCAACTTTTGAGATTTCTTTCCATAGGAAGTATATTTTATAATGTGTAACTTTTTACTATACAACTATTAATCAAACGTGAGGGAAGAATACAGTTCCATATGTGCAAGGGATGAAAAAATTAACTACCACATAACCAAAGAGAGAAAGAGAAGAGAAAAAATGGGATACAGGAAACACGTGGTCCAATGATAATGGTTACAATAAAATAGGAGGTAAAATCATACATCTTATTAAAGTAATATGAGGAGGCACAGGGAAGAACAGCCTAAACAAAGTAGGGAGCAAAAAGTGGCTGTGGTTGATGAAAGACCTATAGGTATAATAGTAATATTAAGTCTTAAGAGATGACTGTTGAACTGGGCAAAGTGGCACATGTCTGTAATTCCAGTTACTTAGGAGTCAGAGATAGTTGTAGTAAAGGGGAAATAGAATGACTTAAGCACAATGCATTCACAGGTAAAATACCAAGGCAAAAATCCCACTGAACAATGAACAAACATCTAAACAAAGAAGGATAAAACTGTAAAATAAGTCACACTAAAAGGAGGGCAATAATGGAAGGCAGAGGGTAAATGAAGAAAGTAAAAAAATGAATATGGTTGATGAACTTTCTATACAATCATATGAAATCATCATAAGAAAGGGACTGAGGTAGAAAGGAAAATAATGGAGGAGATAAACCAATTCAGGTTATAACACATACATAGATATATATGTATATATACTGAAATGTCATAATGAGACTTCCTGTATAACCATCATAAACAAACCCAAATGTCTTTTTTTGTAAATGAGGGACAAGAAGGTAAAACAAATTCTGTCCAGGGGTTGCACCAGTGGGAAGGAGGAGAGCATAAAGAAAGGATGAAGGAGGGCGAATATGGTGGAAATACTACATATTCATGTAAAAAATGGAACAATGAGACTTGTTGAAACTGTTCTGGCAGGGGGGAATGAGGAAGAAAGATGTGTGGGTGAATTTAAGTAAGACATATTGTAAGAAAATTTCTAAATGTCACAATGTACCCCCAGGACAACTATAATATGCTAATAAATTTAAAAAAACAAAAAATAATTAATAAAATGATGATGTTATTTAAAAAAAACCAGAAAGACTGCATTCCAAGACCAGTCTAGGCAAAAGTGTGAGACCATATCTGAAAAACAAACCAAAAGCAGAAGGGCTGGGGGTGAGGCTAAAGTGACAAGTGTGCTGCAATTAATTCAATTCCCAGTACTGACCCATCTCCCCAGAAAAGATAACCTTGGAGAGATTAAATATACAACTGTATTTGGGAAATGAAGAGAAGTGATATCTAAAATGAACAAGTCAAGGAAAGAAGATGAATTAAAAGTAGTTATACATGGAAGTCAGGATCAAGACTGAAAGAAAGGAGCACAGAAGGCTTTTTATAATAAGCATATAAAAGGTACTTTTCTTAGAATAATATATAGTATCACTTTCATGGAAATAAATTCAAGTAGAGGGAGAGAACCAATTCATGGCTTAATCAAATCCTGATTTTTTTTTTTGCATAAAACTCATTTGTCCAATTAGAAAAGTCTAAGTCCTTGGTATCTAATGAACTTTTTGAGGTTCATACAAGAGGGGAGAATTTGTGACTATATTGCCCTATTTCTTATAAAGATATGGTCACAGATTATAAGCTCAAATAACTTCTTGAACCTCAAGGGAAATGAGGTAGGGTGAAGGTAAGAAAACAGATTTACTTTTCATAACTCAACTGAAAAATAGAACTGCAATGATTTAGATGTTTATAGTGCTGATGAACAAAAGAAAATTGCAATGTTAATAACCCTTGCCTTCTCTCAAACTCAAGATTTTCAACAGCTGGAGTTTCACATTGCTAGGCAGAAATGTGTAACACAAGCATATGGGATTCATTCATTTCTTTAAGAAGGGTATTTTTATTTAAAATATTAACCTTCTTTTAAAGACTATTTCAGAAGAAATGAACATCCTCTCCTTTCTATTCCTTGCCAACACTCCATTTCAAAGTCTCAGCATACACTAGGAAATTGAAAAGGAACTGCCTTCCTACATGCTAAATGTCTCTTCATTCCATATGCAAAAGCTTCAGGACAGTCCCCAGGGTAAACAGACCCTGCTGGATCTTCAAGTTTACTTCCAGATGTGAGCCCCCAAGGTAAAAGCAGATCCAGGCTTCCGGCCCCTTTCCAGATGTCAGCCTCCAGGAAGCGGACTGTGGCAGAGACCAAATCCGCTGATTCCAGATGTGGGCTGAGAGCATATGAATAAATTGAAACATCTTCTTTCCCTACCACATGTAATTCCCTAAGCAAGAAAGCTTTCTGATGCCTCTCCAACAACACTCCACACTAAGTCTCCAGAGAGCAAAGTCTCCATAGATCAAAGTCTTTTTGTTCTGTCTCTCACCACTTTTACCTCTTGCTATTTTCTGCCCTCAATTAAAAAAAATATATATATATATGGGTTTCCTCACCTGGGTCAAGGTACTTAGTTCTGGGCACACTTTAGGAATTTGGTTATTTTGAAGGTCTAGAGTCCTCAGGCCAGGCAGTTTTCCTAATGCTGAGGGCATCTTTGTTAACTTCTTCCCATGCAAAGTGATGATCCTAGTGTGTTCACCACCCTTCAATGCTCTTATTAACAATCTCTCAGCCATGACCTTTGAAGAGATTTAGAAAATTAAGAAGAGAACCCTTAAGCGTTAGAGTTCTGTTCTTTATTATACATCTTTAGAACCTCTAATTCCAGAATTAGTATGTCATAGAAACAAAAACATTCTGAGGTTCACCTTGTTGAAGATGGAGGGTGGGTGGGCATTAGATGGCTTCCTATGTAAAAGATAGAAAATGGCTGGTACAGGTTTGGGGTAGAAAGATAAGGACTGGGTATCTTATGCCAGCCACATGGAAGATCATATCAAAAGAGATCATATCAAAAGAACACAGATGCCAACTTCTGCTATTGTCTACTAAAGATGGTAAATATTGAGGACCAGGGAAAAAAGTAATCTAGAGTGGACCAAAACACATCAAAACATTAAAATCTAAGAGTTCATAATGATATTTAAAAACTCATTAATCATACTGGGAGTTGCTAAGGCATCAACTCTGAATATTGATAGAGGAAAAAAGAATTAAGCATTTATTGTGTTCTTTCAGTACAAACTTCATTTCAGTGAACTCTAAATAAAGTTCTTATTCACAGAAGAATTGAAGCTAATAAATGAGGAATGAAAGATAGCTTTAGAAAATTCACCATTTTTGCAAATTCAAATGAAGTACCTATGCAAAAAACATACTTTTGATGCTAAAAGTATTAGGTAAAAGATTGATAAGGAACTTTATAAGAGGGATCAGGTTAATAACTCAACCCATTAATCAACTTCAGCTATCACTACAACTGAGCAATCACGTCATAAACCTTATGGTGAGATGCAATAAAAAATACACAATTACCAGTCACTCTCATTCTCTCTAGAGATGACCTACTTTCTGCCTATTAAAAGTGTATTCCTTTCCTAGTTAACTTTATTGTCACTTTCAGAATAGAAAAATACACAACAGCATCTATGAAATGTCCTTGCCTAAAAATTGAACCTGAATTTAATCATGACTTTAAGATTTAAAGCAAGTTAAAAAAATAGAACATGACAATTTCTATAAGGCAAATGACACAAGGTTTCACCAACAAATCAATGGCATTATGCAAGGCCCTGAGTTTGTAAACAGCAATGCTGAAACTTAGGTAGCAGCCAAATGCAATTTCTGGACCTAGACCGAATATTTTTATAAACATATGCTAATTACACAAAAGGATTTCATTGTAATATCGTATTACTTCCATGACTTAGCTTCAGAGATCATGCAACATCACTTTTACCACAATCATTTGATTAGAAACAATTTACTAAGGCCTGTCTGTATTTCAAGGAAGACAAATTAAAACTAAGCTTCTTGATGGCAAGTGACAAAAAAAAAAAATCATGGGCGTGTTTTAAAACTTATCCACAATCCACCCTGTGGCCATGAGCTATTTACATTCCTCCCACATGTAAAGTAAGAGACACTCTTTCCCAAGAACCCATCTCCCCAAAAGTTTCATCTATTTACAACTTTAGGTCCAAAGATCCTATCACCTAAATTAGGTCCAGAGATAGACACAGTTCCTGAGGGGCAGTTCCATGAGTCCAGCTCCAGGACAGTTCTTCTAGATCTGCAGTCCTACGAACTTAAGAAACCAGAGTACAATAATGGGCAACACATGGGACGAGTAAAATCATTTCATTAAAAAAAATAAAAAATGTAAACATCAGGAGGACGAAGCAGGCACTGGTTCATAGTAATTCTGAAATCCAATTAGGCACATATTGTCAGTTCCTGGGTTAGGGTTCAGTCTTCCTGCCTGGGATTAGTTCTTGGTTTCCTTCTTTTGACTCCTGATTCTGCTCTCTGAATTTCTTACTTTTCCATAAAATATAGCTCATGTTCACTAGGTAGTTTTTCATACTGCTTCCAGTTTATAGATGTACAAGAGTCCAAAGACTTCTTCATCTTTTTTCTTTTTTAGTAACAGCTTTATTGAAATATAATTCACATACCATATAATCACCCATTTAAATGTACAATTCAGTGGTTTTCATTAGTTTTGAAACAATTACCACAGTCAATTTTGGAATGCCTTTCTCAACCCAAAAAGAAAACCTATAGCATTTAGCAACCACTTTCCATTCCTCCCATCCACCCCAAATCCTAAACAACCACTAATCTACTTGCTCAAGATCAAATCCAGGTCTCATGCATACTAGGCAAGCACTCTACCACTAAGCTATATCCCAAGTCTCATTAATATACTTTTTATCTCTACAGATTTTCCTATTTTGAGCATTTTACATAGATAGAATAATATATATGCTGGCTTCTGTGATTACTTTCTTGTACTTAGGATAATATTTTCAAGGTTCATCCATGTTATAGTATATACGAACACTTTAATTATTTTTATTGCCAAATGATATTCCATTGTATGAATATACCACATTGTATTTATTTATTCATTCATTGAGGGACATTTGGACAATTTTCACTTTTTGGCTCTTTATGAATAATGTCAATATAAGCATTCTTATACAAATGTAGACATACATTTTCATTTCTCTAGGATACTTAGGGGTGGAATTTTTATATGATACAACTATATTTAACCTTTTGAAGCACTGCCAAACTCTTTTCCACAGTGGCTGGACCATTTCACATTCCTATCAATGTAACCTACAGGTTTATTTTTTCCAGCTTGGTACTATTCCTTTCAATCCAAACTGATGCAAACCCTTTAAAAACTTCAGTGTGTCTCTGTCAAAATAGTTTATAATTCATTCCATCAATCCTTTCAGCATGGCCCATCTCTCTGTCTGCTACTATGTACCAGGAGTCACTTGTCTCCTAACTTCCAGTAATATTTTCCTCACCTTTAGATCCTCACTGACAACCTCCTGGAAAGACACAAGACTAATCTAAACGGTCTTCCCAAGACTCTCCTAACTTAAACTCAAGGCCCACTCTCAAAACTGCTGGAGAGAGGAGGTAAGATGGTAGCCTGCTAACAGGCACCACTTCCCTGTGTCTCCATGAATCTGAAAGAAAACCTCAGGCTTGTGGCTGCAAGGAGAGGTGGACAATTTACTATGCTAAAAAGAAGGACCCAGTATAAGGACAGAGAGTAGCTAGAAATACCTACTAACTAAAACTTTAAAAGCGTAAATCCACCAGCAGCACGAGGGCAAAGAACTGGACCTGCTCTATCTCATGCCTCCTCATCCTGAGGTCCTGTCTAGACCTGCACTGCTTCCTGCAAAAGCCACTCACAAGGACCACCAAGACAACTGCAGTGAGGGCTAAGAGCAGAACAGCAAACCATGTCCAGAATAACTGATGTGTGTACATCAACACGCACATCAGAAAGGGGATCAGAAACCAACCAGGTGGGCAAGAGGAGTTCAGTCCTTAGAGCTACCACACAGGCCAGCTCAGCACATAGTAAATTCATCTGACTTCTGAGAAAACCTTTGGCTAACTGGGTTGTATAAAGTAATTCAGACTTAAACCCATAAAAGAGGCTTGGTGAGACAGAGACCAACTGAGACTCAAAGTGCATACAGCAAGCTGGTGTAGATTTAGATTTTTCACAGACACTGATTTATATGAGTGCAGGGATAGAGCCGTGCACTCCACATAACTGAAGGGCCCGAGTAGTAAACTCTGAAGAGGGCAACACCAATCTTATGTGGAGGGTGCCATTCACATGTGCCGTGGCTGCAACCCTACTCACTGAACCAGTTGGCCCTACTAGCTCATATCTCTTTACATTTCAACAGGAAGTCTACAGAGGCTGTACTGTCCCAAAACAACTCCACCAATAAAGTGCTTTGCTAAGAGAACTGCCTTGGAATATATCAACTACATGGTCTGAACTGTCCTCCCTCCTTTTCCCCCCAGGAAAGGAGGCTGTACCCCAAGCTAGAAATTTCCTTTCATTGCAAAAAATCTCCTAACTAGAAAACTTGGCCTGGGAGGCTGAAAACCTTCAGCGATGCAGCCCTGCCCTCCTGAAGCTGTTCCTGTAACAATCATGGCAAGAGGACCAAACTTGGAGAAAATGCAGAGAATAGCAACACTTTTTTCCAGAGAGAAATATAAAGATTTTTTCATCTATTTGTTTTTGTTTGACTGTTTCTTTCTTTTCTTTTAAGTTTGGTTTCTTAGTGTCTGAATCCCTTTTTTTCTTTATTTCTTAATTTTTTAATGTTTATCTCCCAAACCATTCTCTATTTTTATTATAGCTACATAGTGCTTTCCCATACTATTATCTTATATACCTACCTCTCCTTCCTCTTATCTTCCCACTCCTCTCCTTTCCCCATGTCATTCCCTATATTATTCAATTTCCAATCCTTATACCTTTCAACCAGTGTTAAGTTCCCAGATCATTCCCCTAAGAAACAGAGTGCATACATTGTCTGGGCAATCTCTCCCCTCTGCCCTCCACCCCCTCCCTCTCCCCTCCACCCCCCTCGCTTCCAGGCAGAATCTGTCCCGCTCACTTCTCCAATTTTGTTGAAGAGAAGACATAAGCAATAGTAAGAAAGACATAGCATTTTTGCTAGTTTGAGATAAAGACAGTTAATGGCAGACAGATATAGGTTCTGGTTGTATCTTTCTCATTCAAATCATTGGTTTATTGCTGAATTGTTGACCTTGGTACTGTACTCAGTAAGTTATTTACATATGTAAAGAAGTAAAAGAGAAACTTAGCCCAACTTATGTGAAAATCACAGCACAGAACTTCAGAAATGAAAAACCAAGGTAGTGTCTCCCCTCTAAAACCCCATAAGAACTCAACAACTGAATCCAAAGATAATGAGCTGGCTTTAAAGTCTGATAGAGAATTGAGAATCTGACTTTTAAAAATTATCAGGGACCTGAAAGTGGATTCAAATAAACAAGTGGATTAATTCAAGTCCTAGAAAGTCAGCATTATGAAAAAGAAATTCAACCAGGAAAAGGAAACTAAGAGGAAAAAAAAGTAGAAATGTTAGAAATGAAAACCTCAAAAAATCAAAAACTACTGTGTATTATCTGCAGACAAGACCAAGCAAAGAGCCAGGTGCCAGTAGCTCACACCTGTAATCCTAGCTACTCAGGAGGCAGAGATAAGGAGGATTGTGGTTCAAAGCCAGCCTGGGCAAATAGTTCACAAGACCCTATCTTGAAAA